GCTGCCTGTAGACGTCTTCTAAGCCTTGTATTTCTTTTAAAAGTTTGTCTTCTGATAACTCATCAAAGAGAGAAGTTAATTTTGGGACAGAAACTAAAACATCTTCTTCATTTTCTGATACTAGACTTTTGAGCTGAAAAGCCCCAAATATATCTGCTACTTCCTTGATCGCTGATGGACTGATCTGGAGTTCAGAATGAAAGCAATCAATACACTCCAGCAGCTGCCTACGGTTTTCTTCTTGCAGAAAGAGTCCAGCATCTGTTAATTGTTCTCCTGCCATTCTCTTCTTAAACCATAATCTTCTCTCTATCGAAATTCCACATTGGTCTGATTTTCAAAGTGTCTTTTTAATAGCATGTTCCACCAATTGACGACCAATGGTACTCGAGTGCGAATGGCATTTTGACTCGGTGCTATTCGGATGTCGCTTGTGTTAGTTTATTTTAGTTAAACTGGAGACGTAGGTTCACAAACATATAATCCATTCAATTATCTTTCATTTTGCCTTACAAACCCAACCATAAAATTTTAAATAGTTCTGGTACCCGGGTACGAATAGTTGCAGCCTAAATATAGCCTCCTGTCATTTACGGAAGTTACCGAATACTTCAATGGCCTTGGAATAATTACTGTTTCTCTAACCTAAACACATGGTCATCACATTTCCGACGCATCAACCTTGAACTTTTAATAAAGCACGCATTTGGATTCGTTAGTCGTTACATTTGAGAAAATTGTATGGGTGATCGGTTATCCTTTTATGAAAAGTGTTGGACTGCGATAAAGCTTTAAAATATATTAATAAGACACGAACAAATTGTGTCAATAGAACAATATGAGTTAGCTTTAATAATAATTGTACATTATACAGAATTAAACGTTTCGGCACTCCTTTTATGAATCTCGGTTAGACCAAGCAGCATGTGCTCTGTAAATATGCAATTTTTTAATTGGGTGTCACCCCTAAAATGGTGTCACCCGATGCGGTCCGCACCCCTCTCGCTACGCCACTGCCAAACATAACTGCTACTTCTTTGATCGCTGATGATCTGATCTGGGGTTCAGAATGAAGGAATCAATATACTTCGGCATCTCCCTGCTGTTTTCTTCTCGCAGAGAGAGTCCAGCATCGATTAATTATTCCCTTGCCATTCTCATCTCAAATTTATCTTCTCTCTACCGAAATTCCATATTGGTGTGATTTTAAAAGCGCCTTTTCAATAGCATGTTCCACCAAGTGACGCAGATCCTGCCATGTAAGATTAACTTTCTCAAGTAGGTACTCGTGAAATCACAGACAGCATGTAAAAGACTTTGTGCCGTATGCCAATCGTGCTCAAATGTTAAGTAACGAATCTGCGAAAATATTAATTTTTGAGTTTTTCTGGGTTTCGATATATTTGGTTTCAAAAAATTATTAATTTAGATATTTTGTTAACCTTATAAATGGACAAAAACTAATGTTTTAATGTTTTTAATTTTTACCGATACGATTCATGCTTTTAGAATTTCCCGACCACACTCACTTGGTATCAATGGAAAGTTTTATTTATCATAATTTAGATATTAATATATATAGCTTCCTTTCACCTACGAAAGTTGCCAAACACTTTAATCCACGTTGAATCATGGTCAAAACGGTGATTTTTCTGACCTTTTTGTAGGGTCACATCATTTCTGACACATCTACCTGGAACTTCCAACAAGGCACGCATTTGGATTGGTTACATGTGTGGAAAATTGACGTGTAACGGTTATCCTTTTATGAAATTCTTTTAAAGCGAGCAGTGTGTGCTCTATAACTATGCAATGTTTCAATTTGGTGTCACCCCTTGGATGGTGTCACCCGGTGCGGTCCTCAGAGGTGTAGCGAGGGGGGCAGGGGGGACAAATGTCCCCGGGCGCAAGCTAGTTAGGGGCGCCAAAATGTGCTTTGATATTATATTATTGGTAAAAATAATGGGTTTGAGAGTTGAAAAAAAGAAAAGGGAGCGCTTTAAAATGGATCTTGTCCCCGGGCGCCAAACACCCTCGCTACGCCTCTGGCGTAGCGCAATCCCCCTAGCTACGCCTCTGCTCAAATCATATATGTTAAAGTTTACAGAATACAGAAATTATAACAATGACTAAATCGGAATAATCTACTACAACAGAGCTCTGTTTCAATTTCGGTCAATAATTCTGTGAAAAAGTAGGCTACATTCATGGTACAGCGACAATGAGCGACACCCGAGGATGCTATTGAGCCTAAAAAGTAGGCTTCCTCATCCTCATGTCCCTTAGTCCTTGGACCGTTGGGGCGCCACAGATGACATGTGAACCATCCTCCTCCATTCCTCTCTGTCTTCAGCACTACGCACTGCATCGCCCAGTGTTAGTCCTGTCCACTCTTTGGTGTTATCCTTCCATCTTTTTCTTTGTCTTCCTCTTCTTCTCCCTCCTCTTGTGGTGCCCTGCAATATTTCTTTGGCAAGCCCTTGTTTCCTTGTTACGTGGCCGTACCCTTGTAATTTGCGTTTTTTCACAGTCACCAATAGGTCATCGTACTCCCCAATTGCCTGACGAATGTAGGCTTACATTATTATTATATTAATGTTTTTAAACATATGCTATAATAACTACAACTTGAAGCTTTTTGATTAAGCAATATTACACTTTACAAAAATAACATGACGGCATCTAAAGTCTAAAGTATTAACCTAATAATTTAGTTATACCGGCAATACTGGCAATAAAATCCGGCCAGCTTTGCAAGCCAAATCACTCTTTAAATAAAAATAATCAGTTTTGGATTTGTTACTAGCGTTGCCACCATGGGGGATTTTGAACAAGATCTGGGCTTTAAACGAAATATTTGGTTAGCTCGAGTGTTGATTGTAAGGCTACTGCATTCACTAACTACTAGCCGCAGCCTACTTTTTGTGTTTGATGCATTATTTATCTAAGTGATATCAATAATCAAATAGCTTTATTTGAATTTGAGTGGGAAAGCCTAGACTTGATACTAAATAATTTATCTAAGAGATGATTTAAATTCTCATCAAAGGGATTAATTAAAATTAAAACATTATTATTATTAATATTAATATTATTATAAGGCATAAGGCCTACCAAGTTTAAAGTAACATAGTTTTAGGACAGTAGGCTAGGCTTAACTCGCCTAAGGAAAAGGTCTAGTATTTAAAAAAGTATAATTTATATCGCTTCTTTTAATATAGGGCTGTCTACTTTTTTGCGTTGCATTAATTATTTTCAAGCTACTCCCAAGGGGCCGTCCATAAAGTACGTCACGCTATTTTTGACAATTTTTACCCCCCCCCCCCTGTCACAAACTGTCACAAATTTTAGACCCACCCCCCACCCCTAAATGTACGTCACACTTTCGAACAATTTTTTTAAAAAGAAATTAACACCTAATTAAAATTTAATCTAAAACACACTTCACTATTAAAATGTATTAAAATATAAAATTTGCACTTAAAAGAACTAACACATTATTAAAATGACTTTAGTAGAATAGTTAATTGTCAACAGTTGTCACAGTTATTCATTGAAGCAGTATCTCAATCTAGAATGAATTTGAAAAAAAAATGCAAAAATTAGACTAGACAATTATATAATACATATCATTTATCTGCTGCTTTTTCATTTACAAAAGGTGAGGTCAAGTTTTAGATAATTTCCGACTATGCAATCTTTTTACACAGGATAATAAGTAGATTAGCGAAACTTTACCTCACCCAGTGATTAAATAATAAAAAGGAAACAAAACAATTTGACTAAAGGAAGACTAGATTGATAAATTATGTGAAAAACTCTTGTGCTATATTGAATCTGTTTATTATGGGTCTGTGAATTATGTTTTTATTCAAAAATATTCACTGGACAACATCAATCCATGGTGAAGTGAAGTGTTTATCCATAGTTATGACTGGCATCAATCTTTCACCATCATCGTTTCCTGGAAGGATAATTGCAGACAGATCAACTTCATCCCCATCTAGCCACTCAACATCCTCTGAATGTGCATTTTCTCTTCTGGCTATAACTGCCATGAGTTCTCTTTGCCTTCTAGCAGCGATTCTCAAAGGACTGATGCGTTTTATCTGAGTTGATTCTGGAACAGTTTGGGTTGGCACATTCTCCCGGGCCCTGTGTTGCCCTGCATGTTTCTTCAACATTGTTTTGTGAGGCAAAGTAAAAGTGACATACTTTGCAAATTCGATCAAGTAAGCTGGTCTGCAAAGATGGACAATAAAGATCATACTTTGAAAGATCATACTTTGAAAGATCATACTTTGAAAACTCCTATTGATTTCGGCAAGGCTAAACATAAAACAAGGCTTCGCAACAGCATGCTAGCGCTCCTAGCGGTAGTCATCGTGAACAACACATTCAGGAGATACGCATTTCATTTTCATGCTATTTTGACATAAAACTAGATCTAATTCAAATGTTTCACACAATTTTTGAAAATTATTTTTAAAGCTATTAAATTCTACTAAAAAATAAAAAATAAATTAGAAATAAAAAATAAATTAGAAATAAAAAAATAAATTAGAAATATTTTTTTTTTAAATAAATGTGTGAAGTCATACATGGCCTGACCCCCCTACCCCCTGTCACAAACTGTCACACTTTCTTACACCCCCTCCCCCCTCTGGAGCGTGACGTACTTTATGGACGGCCCCCTACTCACGTTGAGTTTTTTTGTTTTTTTTTACTTTATATATATATTAACTTAGAATTAAATTTTTTGCATTGAAAAACATGGACTAAGCAGCTGAAAGATTATTATTATTTTTTTTTTTAGAAAAAAGAATGAAATACATACTATGTCTAATACATGTATTTAAAATCTAGGGTTTTCTAGATTTAATTTATACAAAAATAATTAAACTTTTGGGTTTTTTTTTCATTATTTATTTAGTTTAGAGTGGCAACGCTGAACTGAATAGACTGTTGTTGGCTATTAAGATTTAAGAAGAAACATTGAGGTTAGAATTTGGCTTGGTAAATTTGTGTTAAAATTCTATTATTTAGATCTGACTGCATTTAGGTGCTTTTTCTATAACTATATACTGAAGCATTTGCGTCAAAACTGGTCCTTAATTATAGGTATTTTAATAATAAATATTGTATGATATTATTAATTATAAGTTATAATAAGTTATGTTCTCATATTCTATTACTATTACTATTACTTATTTATTACTATTTAATAAAATAAATTATGAATAATAATTATGCTTTGCCTTACGCTTATCAGTGATCAGACTGTATAATTATAATAATTATATATACTAAACTATAATTTCCATATTATTTATAAATCACTCAAATTTACTGAAAATACTAGGAGTAAAATACTGTTTATTATAGGTTTTTGTCAGAAATTTAACTGATGGCTGGTAAACACTGGCTACACTAGTATACTATTACTATTAATTTTAAATGGCTGCTTAAATGGTGTCTGATTTAGTGATTGCCATAAAAGATATGTCATATTAAAGGACTGGTTAACACTGGTTAAAAATTTAAATGTTGTTTGATTGCCATAAAATATATATCATATTAAAGGGCTAGTTATAATTATAAGCTTTCCAAAAACATCCATTTCATTTTTCTATTTTTTATAGAAGTGGAGTTTTTAAAAAAATATTTTTTAAGCCCCTTGCCCTTAAATAATCTATATTATATACTATATATTTTCCCCCAAAAACTTGTGACCCATTTTTCACATTTCTGCATTATTTTGCCCATAACATTTTTATTTTTAAAGAGTTGATTTTGGGTTAGCAGTAAGGCAGGCAATGTGTTCTACTATAGTCTATAGTATAGTTAATTGTAAGTGCAGTTGTCAGTTGTAGTAATAGAATAATAATTAATATTAGGCTTTTTTGCTGTCATCCGTCCGTCAAAATGGGACGATGGTGTGGACTTTGGAAGACGAATTCCACAAGGCCTGGGATTTTTCTTCTAGGATTATAAGCTGGTTCCCAAAAAGCAAATCGGCTCTCTCCAAGCTGCATCAACTTGAGATTTGCTCAGTTTAGATCACTCGGCCACCCAGCACCCAATATATATATTTTATATACAATATTAGGCTTAGTTTAGGCCTTAATAAACCAGTGGCGTAGCTAGGGTTAGTGTCACAGGTGCAGTAAACTCATGGTGTCACCCCCTCCACCTGATATTCTCGATGTATTTCTTGTTAAAGTAAATCCACAGTATAACAGTGGCAAAAACAAATTAATTGAATGTCAAGAGGTAAATGTATTTAAGAACTGTAACAACAATGGTGGCAGTAAAACCCAGCAGTTGAAATATGACAATAAGGCTTAAATGTTAAGGTGCGATGCAAGTGACGAAATTGCACAAATATAAATTTTTAGTATTTGATATATTTCGTTTCAAAAACCTTTTTTTTACAATTTAAATAAGTTTTAATTAATTATTAAAAGATACAGGGAATAGAAAATTGTGTAAACAATTTATTTGTTAACACTATAAATGGGTAAAAAAAAGATTTTTTAATTTTCATGTTTTTAGACATGCCCGACCATATCTTATTTTGCTAACAATGGTAAGCTTTATTTCTCAAAATTCAGATAAATATAATGTCCTGTCATGAAGTTACATAACGCTTCAACTGGCCTTAAATCATGGCCCAAAACAGTGTTTTTCTGACCTAATTTTAGGGTCACCTCATTTCTGACGCATCAACCTTGAATTTTTAAAAAAGCATGGATTTGAATTTGTTACATGTGTGGAAAATTTATGTGTGATCCGTTATCCTTTTATGAAATTCAGTTAGACTGAGCAGTTTGTGCTCTATAAATATATCCAATTTTTCAATTTGTTGTCACCCCTGGGATGGTGTCACCTTGTGCGATCCGCACCCCCCAGCTACGCCACTTAAATAGATTATAGGATTATAATTACTGTTACTGTTATAACTTATATGTGGGCCTAACTTTAGGGATATTATTCCATATGAGCAGTGATTAATAAGAAAAGGATTATTATTATTATTGCTATTACTATTATTAAACGATTAATTATTGAATCAATAAAGAGAACGGAATAAAATTGGTACACAAAATTTTTAACACAATACAACTAGCAAGCAATCCTTAATCATAATCCAAAACTTTTCAAGCTTGATGATAATTTTTTCTTAAATTTTTTAAAATAATGCATTTAAAACTTCTTAGCATTAGTCAAATGTTTAGGTACGGTATTCAACAATAACGAATCAACCCCTTTTCCCTCCCCACCCCCCCACCCCCACCCCACCCCCCACCCCCAACCCCTAGCTTAGAGAGTTAGGGAACACTTAACTTTTCTTTTGAATGGGTCAATTTTAATAACTTAAATATATTAAAAATTTGCAATGGATATAGTTTCTCTCTAAAGTCTAAAGGGTCCAGATTAGGTCTAGACCTAGTGATGGACTTTAGGTTTGAAGATTTATGCTCGAGTTAGGGAGACTGATTTTCCCGCTATAGATATTTAGCCTTCAGATTCGGTAGAGTGATTGATTATAGGCTTGAAGGTTTTTCGCAAAAAAATATTTCATTAAATTTGCATGCGTTTTGCTAATTTTTAACATTCTTTTCTTTAAAAATTAAAAAAATAATTTTTAAAATAGAAATAACCCATTCTCATCATTTTCATTTGTCTTGGTAAATAGCAAAAGCACACTCTCTCCCTTTCCCCTCCCCATTTTAACCTCCATGGTTTTTTCACGCTATTTTTTTACAAGTCTGCAACAAAGATGGCAGCAGTGTAAAAAAAAAAGTAATGAAAAAAGACGGTCAAAAGGGAGAACCATCAGGTGTAAAATTACCGACCTAGACCATATACTTGGCATGTATTGATGTAATGTATACATTACACTTAAATTAATTTTTTATAACTATTGACCCTTCTGGCGTAGCATATGTCAGGGTCTTGACAATAAGTCAATTAATGGTTAGACAACTACCTAAATTCTAGCTTTAGGTGATACTATTAAATATGCCCTGCTTCTCTCTAATCTCTTATTTTAGTGCTCTAAATTCAATGCAAATAAAAGGTGTTTTGTTTTTGTTTCTTAGTTAATCTTTCTTAAAGAGAATCAAATTATTTCATAATTAAAATGATTGTATAAGTCAAATATCATCTCTTTGACACAAAACAAAAACTATTAAACAAAATGTAAGAGATAAAAAAAAATACACCTCCACGCACTTTTATTACGCAAAGAGGACTCATAAATTAAAAATACCTTTAAAAACTTACAAAAATATGAGACAAAATAATTTGGAAACAATAAATATTTGTTCTATTAACTATTCAAGTCGTTTTTATGTTGTTCCATTTGGTCAATAAGGAGTTTTTAATTAAAAAGCACTTTAAATGATCACACCTTAGTGGCGGTATATCTGGAGATGACCCTGCTTCTCATTGCAGAGACAGGCTACCCTCTAAATAATGTTCTATTATATGTTATACATTTTTTGATGTGGGAAGGGTCCTAAAACTTAAGGAGCATAAGCTCAATGGGTCTGTTGAAAAGACAAGATAGTAGTTTATAAAATTAACATTGAAACCAAGACAAATTTAGTATTTATACTGCACTTAAAAGTTAAGCTAAGCCTCATAACAATGAATGTATACTTTGTCAAAGTCTTTGTTATAATCTTTTCAACTAGGCAGTTCAATTTTTGTCCTTATTATTTCTGGGCTCTATGGATCAAAAGCATGTGACAAAGTTAATATAAACACTGCCAATTTGTAAAATCAGGAAATGAAAATTGTGTATTTTCATTTGCACTTTTACCAAAAATATTATAAAAGAACTTTTGAATGAAAGTAAATCATTTTTTAATCCATTAATTTTCTTGTTTTATTTTTAAGCTCAAGTTATTTGTTAAATCATATCTACTTTTAATTATATATTTTTCAGCATATGGCATCTGTCTATAACCCAGGGGTGCTTGGAATTAAAACTCCAGAAAATTGTGGTAAGTTTTAAATGTTCAGATTTTTTTTTAGCTAGGACCTTGCAGATGATTTCTGAGCCCTTCAGTTGTAAGCTGTACTAATAGGCCTCCTTCCATATAATTTTTCAAACTATTTCTTATCCCCTTCTTTCTTGCAAAGTCATCATTTTAGAAATGTCAAAGAACAGCAAATCTATCAAACAATCATCTGTTTGAAATTTTTAATTCAATAGCATAATTCAGTCTTTTTTTTTCAAATCAATGGAGTTCAGAAAAGCTTAGATTTAAGAATTTTTCTGATATAGACTGGCACTGATATTTTTTAGCCGTAAAAAATGTTTAAACCACTTTTCTCACATTCTTTTAAAAAAAGGATGTGGCAAACTGATGTGCTAATTTATTAAAACTTAATAAAAATTATAGTGGTATGGTGGGAAAAAAAAAAAGGAGGGAGGCCAGGAATTTGGATAAATTGTTAACAGGAAAGAGTGTGAATTGGTCAGTCTTAATAAATGGTGTTAAGCGTATTTTGTAAACTGAATAAAAGGTTTTGCCTTCATACTTTTAGTTCACTCTCTGTTGACAAAGAGGTTAACATCAGGATCGCAAAAGCAGCAGCAGATATGGTTAAAACAGGTGTGGTATAATCTTAAACTCAAAGAAAATACAAAAATAAATGTCTATCAGGCATGTATGCTCAGTAAGCTCCTTTAAGGCTGTGAATTTTGGATCTCAAATGCCAGTCACGAGTAGAAACTCACAGCTTGCATTAAGGATGTCTGTGTCGCATTTTGCGCATTTGATAACAGGAAAGGGTGCTTAACACATAGGTTTTGGAACATGACCAAAATGTGCAGCATATTCTGGCTAAGCCGTGTAAGGAGAATGGAGGAAGGCCTTATTCCAAAGGATCTGCTGTATAGAGAGTTGACCGCGGCTGGGATTTAAGGATGTTTTCAAAAGGAGCATGAGGGAAGCCAACATAGAAATAAACTTATGGGAGATCATCGCTGAGAACCAATCCAGCTGGCAAACAACAGTGTATGAAGAAGTAAAAAAGGCAGGAGATGTGCAAAACAAAGCCGATACAGCCATTCCAGGATGGCCTTGTAAGCCATTTGATGAAGAGTCCATAGCTACTCAACGTCATTGTCTAGCGAAGATGGAAGAATGCCATATAAATATATATATTATATATATTATATATATATATATATTATATAGGGAACTGCAACCAGGATTATAGCTTCCCTTGTAATTCTTTACAGACTAATACAAAGATGTGCTCAGGCTCATGGCAAAAACAGCAGCTTTAAAGTCTTTTGAGGGGAATAAGGAATAAATTCTTTTACTTACAACTGAACAATATCTGTTACTGTGGGAATTTAAATGTGGGCATTAATTATTTTATTATGAAGTAATAATAAATAAAGTGTCTTCAATTTCAGCTGGACACTGGAACATTTTATTACAGTTGCTTTATGTGTTTAAAAATGAAATATTTCAATGTACCAGTCCTAATATGTTAGCCGCAGTAGCTTTTTGCCAATTCGTTTTTTAAAATGTGTTTGTTACTTGATTTTAAGAGGGAATAATTAATAAAATGTCTTTAATTTCAGCTGGGAACTATTTGTTACTGTGGAAAATTTTATTACAATAGCTTTATTAGTCTATGTACCAATAAGTCAGCCACAGCAGATTTTCATCAAATTTGTTTTTAAAATGTGGCAGTGAATTATTTTAAAGTGGAACAATAATAATTAATAAAATGTACTTAATTTCTACTGGACACAATCTTTTACTGTGAAAATTTTTATTTAAATGGCTTCATTACTTGAATAGTATGCTATTTTATTTATTTATTTTGACAAATGCCAATACAAACTACACCCTATATCAATTTTTTTTTAAAATATATAATTGATAAGGCCTTAACATAATTTGATTGCTGCACATTTGAAAATTACAAACTAAATTTTATATACAGTGAAAGTTAAAGTTTTAGGCGTAATAATTCTGCCTCTGCATCACATGACTCAAATAAGGCTGATTAAAAAGTCATAACTTTTCTTCTATAAGCGAACTAAAGATAATCTTAGTGTCATTGGATAGCATGTTGATGATGTTGAATGAAACTAGAATCAACTATATAATTGTAGATTAAGTTTCCTTATTGCTTTGATCCATTTTTTAATCGGATGCAGTTTTCTTTAAGGCATGTGTATTTTACTAATGATTTTAAGATTCTTCATTCTTTGTAATCTGAAATTTATTTTACCTGGATATAATTTCACAGGTTGTCAAGAGCTTTTATCAAAGCTTAATCTAGTTCAACATGGCTGGCTACGCAAAAGATGTTTTAGGAACAAAATTCAGATACATTTTTTCAACTGTAAGTTGTTAGTGCTTTTCCAATGATGCTCCATAACTATTTTTATGTAGTGAAATTAAATTTGTTTTACGTAAGAAACCTTACCCTTAAAGGAAAATTACACCTTAAATAAAGTCCTAGTTTTATCCTTGAAGGAACATTACTACAACCGGTACTTAAAGTCCAGAAAATCATTGAATAATATTTTTGGGTCATGCTATATTATTCGTATGCTTTAAGGATTACTGGTTTCATACACAACAATTAAGACATATTTCTTACTTTTTCTCATGTATTTTTCAGGGCCACAACTTTATGTTTTGCTTGGTGATAGCTGTTTATACTACTTTAACAATGAAATGTCCAATAAGCCATCTGGTGCCATTTCCCTATATGGTTATAACAGGTATATTTTTTAAATGAGTCATTTAACAGAGTGAAATCTATTAAAGAATATTAGTATATACAAAATATGGCTAAAGGCTAAAATAAAACCAAGGACAGTGTCAATAAAAAAACTTTTTCAGCAAACAAAAAAATACAAATAAAAATTTAAAAAAAATTTACGCTGAAAGAAGCTAGAGAGTAAACTGTAACTTCTACAGACTACAGCCTTATAATTATTCCGATCCCGGTGGGCTCCCAATCCCGTCGGTATCCCACTCCCATTATTATACCAGTACCCCATGGGGGTTTCGGATCCCTTTGGATCGAAATTCCTGTATGATCCCAGTCCCATTGGTATTCCGATCCCAGTGGTATCTCAATACCAGTAGGATAACGATACCAGTGGGATCTCAATACTGGTGGGTTCCCGATAGCTGTCGGATCCCCAGTGGGGTACCCATCTCGGTATGTTTTAGTTTTCTGATAGGAGTCCGATCTGAGTAGGATCCCGATCCCGTTAGGATGCCGATCCCTTTAGTATCCCTTTACCCAGGGGGAATTCTCTTCTCTTATAGGATCCCATTTCCTGATAGGATCCTGATCCCGGTTTAATCCCATTACCAGATTGGACTGCGTTACCGTTGTGTTCATTTTACTGAATCTCGTTAACGTTACTATAAGCTTTTACATCCCTTTATATATCCCCGTTGAACTATATTGAAATTTCTGGGACATTGTAAATAAAATTTAATAACCTCCACGAAACGTTTCAACAATAGCTTTCTAAGTAATTATTTTTTGAACTTGAAATATTATACAACTAAATGCACTACTATTGCTATAATACATTTAAGCTAAAGGAGGGGGCCCAGTGGGGGGCCATTCCATAATTTTACTGAATCAGTTTTGCCTGAGACAGACAGACAAACACAGTGACAAATGTTCACTTCTTTATATATATTTATGAAATATACATGATAATAATAGAAAAACTTAATTATATATAGTTTATCAAAGTAAATCTTATGTCATGCTTCAATAAATAGTTCATAAATCAATACTGTCAAAAGGCATTTAAGGTATTTTCTTTACTCACTCTATAGAATCATAAGGGCAAGTGAGGTCAAGATCAAGGAAGCTCCATGGGCCTTTAAGCTGGAACATATACAACCAGATGTGAAGTCTCTTTATTTTTCGGCATCTTCAGAACAGGAAATGATTGTGAGTATGGGCATGGGTCAGAGTTGATTAAAATCAATAGTAAATATATTAAAGCTTATAAAGATCTAGTTAATAGTATTTAAATATTTTTAAAAATTTAAATAGCATTTTAAAATTTAAAGCAGATTTTAAAAAATTTAAAACATATTGTTTTCTTGAAATTGATTTTTCTAATTTTTTAAAAAAGAAATGCTTTAGATTTGAAGTATATTAATTTGTATAAAGATTAAGCATAAGGTAGTTGATGGTACTTAAATAAAATTTTAAATATAAGTTGGATTTTTAACATTTAAATAGGATTCTTAAAAAGTTAAATCATCTTTTCTAAATTTAAATACTTTTTGTCTAATGTTGTAAAGTAATTAGTCAATGTCATTCGATTCCACAAAAACTTCTGATTAAATCATTTTTTTAAAATTAGTTTTTCAGCTTTCTAAACCCCAATCTTTTTCTTATTTCTAAAAACTGAAAATAACAAATTTAATAACAATGAAATTTCTTTTTAAAAATTGTGCAATCATAATTATTTATTAAGAAATAAAACATTAAGTGAATAATAATACATAAAACATTAAGTGACTATTAATACATAAAACATTAAGTGACTAATAATACATAAAACAAACAGATTTTTTATTTAGCTAGTGCCTTAAAATATAAATATATTAGATAAATTAATATAAATTAAAATCAATTTTTTTAAATTTAAATCATATTTATTCTTCAGATTTAAATTTAGTACCGGGCACCTAAGTATTACCGTAAAGAAACTTTAAAAATATTTGCAAAAACATGTTTTCAGTATCTACTGTGACTATGGTTGCACTTAGTATTTTACTCCTATCAGATATGGTGCAGATTAGTATTTTAAATTTAAAAACCATATTTTGGTGTATAAGTCAAAAAATTTTAGTGGTAAACTTCATTTTAAAACACAGAGTCGACTTATCCGCAGGTCAGTGCTAGGTTGAATAGAATTTTTTACGTTGAATGCGGGGCAATGTCAGGTTACCGGTCGTGCTAGTGTTTTTACTTCTAGCTGTACTTTGACCCAGATAACGGGTACTGGAAATGTTCCTGTTCATGATTTCTCATTTTTTGTCCAGTTTTAAGCTGAGATAAATAAATAAAATCTTATTAATTGATACGGTATATGGTATGTTCGGACATCACGTTAATATGTAGTCTTCAGATTCTTAACTTATGGAGATTTAGATACAAACATTTGGTGAGATACTTTTGGAGTCAATCATACACCCGCCACAGTTTTATATACAGTGCAGCAACTGCTGCTAGATAAAATCTGACACAATTATAATAATCACGGTATTTCATAGCCCCAAGTTTTCACCTGGACTAATCTACGGATCATAGTATATTGCATAATTTTTAGTAAAAAAAAACTGCAGCCGACTTACATGTGAGATTGACTTAAAGACAAGTGTGTATAGTAAGTTATTTGTGTTAGCCAAAGTACCGCACATTAAATATCACTTTCCTCTATCAAAAATCAATGAAAAACTTTAAAAATTTCATCCCCTCAACATGAAGTTGCAAGGATTAATATTTATAGATTTAATTAATTACATAGGTAAGAATGTATCTATTATTATTCTCTGCTTTTTTCAGAGGTGGATGAAAGCTATCAAAAGTGAAATGCTTGTGGCCAATAACATTAAACAAAAGTAAGGGTTAATTGTAATAGTTTAAAGAAAGCACTTAAAATGTATAGTAACTATATTATAGTGCTTAAATAAAAAATGAATATGTTTTAAATACCAAAGTAACCTCATTCTATTACATATGTAGCATTATCTTAAAAATGGGGGTGCGCAGGGTGGCGGTCTTGGCGGCACTTTATTCCTTTATATGGAGGGGCGCCACTTTTTGCCAAATGTATGTTGTTTTTTGTGAAAAGAGGCGGCACAAATCTTAGACCACCCTGGGGGGACCATTTTATTCTCAATTCTCATCTAGCCATTAGATGCATGTAACTTATTATCAGCCTGATAGCCCTCTATTATTCAACATAGTATAGATTTATTATGATAATCAAATTATGACTTGGCATTTATCCAGAGTTTGATTTTTCCCTTTTTTATGCTTGCAGAGAATGTAAAAATATCAGGGTGAATTGTGAAATCTACCCACAAAACTTAACAAATAAAATGTTGAAATAGTAACTAGAAAACCAGCTGTAATTATTATTGAATTAAATTAGCTTATAAAGATAAATTACTTGCCCCTGTTCAAATATGTTTTGTTGAAAATTTTGGATTTACACTTTCGTATTAAAAAGAAGCTTGGAATCCATTTCAGCATTTATTTTTTAGAGGATTCTTACTTATTCAACAAAATGTAACAAATTATATTATTCTTATCAGCAGCAATATTCCAAAGCAGGCACTGAGTAAACCCTCTTTAGATTCTTTATCGCTCGGATCAAATTTTTCCTGGAGCTCTTCAGAATACAATGATCTAGAAGGGAGTATATACATGGACTCGCAAGAACCAAGAAGATCTGTTTACTGGGATGCCATGCCAACAGAATATGATATGGCTTCAACAGGTATATTGACAATTTAAAAATGGTAAATGTAATAGTATACGTCTAATCTTGATTTGTGAACTTTTCTGTGGCGTTTAAGAGTTTTATTGACAACAAAATATATTTTTTAATTTAAATTTTTATTTAAAAATTCTTCTTTATGAAAACATTCATTCAGCGTCAGGGCCTAGGTTACTATTTATAGATTTCAGACATGAACCTAGGGAATCCCACCATTGATTATCCCATGCACCTTAATAAAGAGGGTCTCCAAGGCAACCCTTTTGTCTTCACCACAATTAAACTATAGTTAAGAAGCAATGGGAACTCATTCTTAAATGTGACATTTATCCTAGAAGTTGGAAAGAAATGTGTGAGACATTAACTCATTTAGAATTTGTGTAATTCCAACTTCACTGTTTCTTAGACCTCTATCTATAACTACATAAATTACATAAATTACTGGAGATGTGTTAAAAGTCAAAATAATTGTAATGCTTTAATTTTTGTCTCTGATTGAATTCATTCGTTTCCCCCTTATATTTAAAACATGCACTAGCATTTTTGTTAAAGCACATTTTAATACTTAAATTATATGAATAATGATGTAGATAATGACTGTTTAATCACATCTGTTGATTTTTTAAAATAATTTTTTTCATTTTCATAGCTTACAGTTGAAACAATTATTTAGTCATTTAAATTTCTAAGATTTGTACATACAATTGTGACTATATAATTAGTATTGAAATTCTTTCAGTTGAAAATTCTCTTGCTGAAGGATACAGCCTACAAACAATGCCATCAGCTCCTGTAAGTATTATAATAACATTTTATCTTTAATACAAGACTAAAAGATTTTTTTTTAATAAATGGGATTCACATCTAGACACAAATTTGTTAGTCTCTTCAATCTATCTTTGGTTAAATTTATTTTAATCTTGCAAACACTTAAATAATAATATTTAAGAAGATTCATTTCGAATTATGTTAAAATTTTTACAAAAGGTGCAGATTTTTAAAATATCCAACAGGAATATATTTATTTGAAGTTCTTCACGTCTTTTTTTTTTTTTTATTTTTTTTTTCCATAACAGTAAATTATTTAAATTATCTATATTTGATTTTATCTAACTAACATATAAATTGAAAATATTAAGGAAAAAAGCAAATTTTTTTTTTTTTTATTTTTTTTATTTTTTTTTTTTTTTTTTATTTTTTTTTTCCATAACAGTAAATTATTTAAATCATCTATATGTGATTTTATCTAACTAACATATAAATTGAAAATATGCAGGAAGAAAGCAAATTTATTTTTTCTAGAATAGACATTATTTTTACTTCTTTGAAAGAATGCTAAGGTAATGATATTGCTGCTGTGAAAAGAAGCTACAAAATATGGAAAACATAAATTTCAATTCCAAATATTAGATAAACATTTAAAACTTGAGTACAGTGGGCATCTCATGGGGGGGCCTTTGCCCTTAAAATAATTGTCTGTGTTTATCCAAACTTGACAGCTTGGTTGTATATTATAGAAAATTAATTATTGTTTGAAAATAAGAATGTTTCAGAATCACAATTCTACTTACAGAAGACATCTGAAAGCTCTTTCTTTTTTAAATTATTGTAGATAATGTTTGTTTGTTAATTTTTAAGGGTGACAAAAAAGCTGATGCATACTGGGGTAATGTCCATTACTCTGGAAATAAAGTCAAAGCTGCTGAGTAAGTGCTATTTTAGACAACTATATTCCAATTTCTGAGTTTTGGTCAATTTTCACAACTTGCTTTAAAACTGAAGATATTGTTATTTTCTTTTATGTTTGTTTTCTAAGAAAAGCATTTTTATAACCTAAAATGTATTTTAATTCAGATACATATTTTAGTTTTCAATCATGTGTTTTTTAATTTCCACCAGAATAATCAAAGCCATTGGTGAAAGTGGTGTTTACCTCATCAGGAAAAGTGAAGACAATTCTGTAAGTTAATTTGCTGTTAATAATACACAGAAGCAAAATTATTTTGAGAGGAAGAACATTCTTTCATCTTATTTCTGCCCTGAAACATTCAGGTATATATGCATATTCAGGGGCACTGGACGGTCATACTCTATAGCTCACACAGTAAGGTAGCAGTAGTAGCGATGCTCCATACTATTTTAAAAGGTATCCCCAATGTTAAAAGACTTTTGAAAAGGTACATGTATTTTGAGTTGTTGCTAGATCTTATTTAAATAATTTCACATCATGGCTATACTGCTGGTCTAAAATTTCACTCAGTAATATCAGGAGCAGTGAATGTTAGGGCAATGTTTCCTAACGTTTTTTTGCCTCCCCATGCCACTCCTCAGCAGCTAAAAAGGTTACAGTTTGTCATCTCTCTCTCTCGTCTCCCTCTGCCCACTTTAGAGGAAGGACTTTTTAAAAAAGAAGTCAGTCATCATTCATGAAAATTAAATTTTACTTTTACAGACTGTTTAAGCTACAAAGTGCAATATACTCAAATGGATTTGTATTGCATTAAATAACAAACATTAGCAGTAGTTAATTTAAAGTGTCTTATCAAACATTACGCCCTCTTCCTTTTGAAATGTAAATACATTTCCTATCTCAGAGACTAAATGTCCCCCCCATAATCACCCTGTGGGCGTATAACAAATGTTTGGAAACACTGGTCTAGGAGGGAAGCCTAAAAACAAGAATGATACATTTGATTTCATTGGACCACTTTAGATACATTTATTTATTTTTCTGTGTATTAATGAAACAAAGTCATATTTAACTTGAACTATAATGTCAAAATATAGTATTCTATTCCTTATACATTTGCATGCAATTCCTCAAATAAATTCACTGACTATTCTTTTTGGATGATGATTTCTAAAACTTTTTTTTTTTATAATATATAATTATCACCTCAAGAAACTCACATTTAATGCTAAAATGCATGTTGTTTTTTTCTGTGCCAACAAATTACTGTAAATAAGACTGTAAATAAGACTGTAAATGCATGCATGCAATTCCTCAAATAAATTCACTGACTATTCTTTTTGGATGATGATTTCTAAAACTTTTTTTTTTTTTTGGTTCATTCAAACAACCTCTGTTAATTTTTTCCTCAATTTTCATTCATATATTGACTTTGATGAAGAGAATTACCATTTGGTTTAATCAGTGCTCCAAAACCTTTCGGATTCTCTGGGCCTTTGCTGAAACCAGGTTTTCTCAAGGCGCCTTATTTCAAATTCTAATGAGTACTTTGCAAAATAGCAAATGATTTTTAACAAAAATATCAAATGTTCAGTGACAAAGCATTTGTAAAGATTCCGCAAACAGTTCTTACTATTTGAGTCATTGGTTTACAATATGTCCCATCTTATCCCGTCTCAATAGGGTTTCTGCCATTTTTGCTAGAGTCCAAGTTTTACTTGCATATGTTGCAACTAGTCTGGTCTGATTACAGTTTATTTATAGTTTTCTTTCTTTTACTAGTAATGTTTTTACTTTTGAGTATTTTTTGACTAATGAAGTATGCTCTGTTTCGGGCTGATATTCTTTCTTTTATTTCTGTTAGTAATTTTTTTCTTTCATTTAATAAAGATCCTAGGTATTTGAATTGATTTACTTTTTCAAAAATTTAGTTTCTAATTTTATTGGTTTCATCTGTCTGTTCTTCTCTTATCATATTCTTGTATTTTGTTTTCTTGGGTGTTAACTTCCAGCCCTGCTTGTAGTAGTGTGTCTTCTAATTCAATAAAAGCTTTTGATATATCGTTACTTCTTTTCCCTAACAGTGCTATATCATCAGCTCATCAAGATACCCAAGGGGTTGATTGTAGAGAGTGCCTACTGGTTGTGGCCCTTGAGTTTCCCTCAGAAAGTATCCTGTCATTGTTCCTCAAGTGTCAATATGTATGCTTCTTATAACTCTCTCCATTGTTAGCATACATGACAGTCTCCTTGTCTTATGCCTTTTCTAATTTGAAAGTCCCTTGAATATTCACCCTGAACCTTGATTTTGTATTTTGAGTTGTTTAATATTATATGCATCAGTCATGTCAGTTTGTTGGGTATGCCATACTCCTTCAGAATCTCATAAAAATATTTCCTTTTGATGATTGATTGAATACTTTTACAGCTCTTGTATCCATGCTATTTTAGCATGCTCATAGTGTTCTGATGTCCTAAAATCTAGTGAAAGAAAAAAGTCTTTAAATGTTTCTTAAATGACTTATCATTTTCAATTTCCCTCAAAGACTGAGGTAACTGAGGCAAACTGTTCCATAATTTTGGCCCTATAGCCTCAAAAGAGCACAATCCATATGACTTCTGTCTGTGTCCATCCACTTTCAATAATGATGCTGTCACTAGGCCATTTTATAGTCCACATAGAGTTGATGTACTGAGATGTTATATTTGTAATAGGCATCTGATGGTGAAGATCTGATCACTCATTGATCTGATTTGTCTGAATCCACATAGGTAGTCACCTAGTCTTTGTTCAGTGTATGGTTGCAGTCTTTTGGCAATTAGTTTTTTTTCAGTATTTTGTAAGTAACATTAATGAGGAAATTCCTCTGTAGTTTCAGCATTGAGTTTGGAACCTTTCTTGTGTATTTGGGTTATTTGTGTTGTTTCCCATTCTTTTGGAATTTTCTCTTCTTGCCAAATTTTAGTTATAAGTTTATGTGTCTGAGTGTGTAGCTTGTTATGATCTTCCCAGCTTTAATAAGTTCCACTGTCTTTTCACATGAACAACTCCAGCAGTAGGTATGTTTTCTGAGGGCAGTAGACTCATTGTTGTCTAGGGGCTAGAAATACAATATAAATTACAAACTCCAGTGTTACGATCTCGATATTCCCACAGTTCAACATCTTTGTTGTCTAGGGGGTTATTCAATAACTTAACAAACCATTGATTCATGTCAAATTTCTCTTTATTAAAAAAACAACTCCGAAATTCTAACACTCTGTTTTATAATTACTCCATCAATGCTATTCAAAATCATAAAACCATTCACAATGTCATTTCCGTTACCCAAATACATCACACAATACGAAGCACATAGAAACAGCTACACAAATACTGTCAACAAAGCACATAGAAACAGCTACACAAATACTGTCAACAACAAACACATTTTCCATACCAAATATTCACGCCCCTAAATCTAGTTCACAACGTTCCTCCCCCACTTCGTTGAAATCACTTACAGTAGTTATGTCACAGACAAAAATCATATCACAAAATTTATCAATAAACATCAGTTAATACTAATTATCCTATCTATTTTCCCTCGCACACGCAAAGAGCACAATCTTTCATTCACTGATTTAAAACCTATACTATAACTGCAACAAAGGCCTTTTTCTTCACAGCAAATCCTGTTCCAAGAATTTTAGTGTTGTTCCACTATAAAATCTGGTGTAGTCTTTTGAGGATGTCTGGATTTTTCCATCAAATTTCTTGCTATGCAGCAATAGAGATTTTATATTTTATTAGTTGTTCTAGTACTATTTGATTAGAAAAGGCTTCTGTTCTAAAAAGGCTTTGTATATTCCAAGTCCCAATCCAAAAATCATGTCCATATCCAGGCACGGGTTGATTTCCATTACAATCAGTCAAGGTTTTATTTGCTTGTTCGGCTTTGGTAATGTTTATATTTTTTACATGGCCGGGTTGTTAGCCCTGCGCACAATTGTCTGGGGGGCTGCTCCTTACAGCTCTCTAGGTAGCTGCCTTAATTTTCAGTTAAAGTTCCTTAGCCGTTGTGGATCACTCCACTTCCTACAATGCAGTAGGTTCTGATTTTGGTCCACCCCGGGTATTTTATTTCCCTAGTACTTGCCATATCTGGTGAGCTTTTACTCATCCACCACCTGAGGTGATGCTTGATGAAGGATCAGTATCTCCAAATGAGAATATTGTGCTTTAGCTGAATCATATTTATTAATAATAACACAAATTATCATTCATTGGTATTATGTAAACTAATCTTAAGAATTTCGATACAATTTTTCATTCCTGTTTTTGTCTGCAGAATGTCCTGGTTGTCTTTTCCAAGAATGCAACAAGAAAATTCAAAATTCATCAAAAGGTTAATCTTTTTAAATTAAAAAAAACAAATGCTTTTGCATTAAAATAAGTAAAATTGTTCACGTGTAAGAATACCCATTTCTTCTGCATCGATTATTATAATGTTGGGTGGTAAAATGTGCATCTTTCTTTGCTTTGAGAAAAATAACCTTTTTTTCTCCTTTCAGGAAAATAGAAAATTGACTCTGTCACTTCAAATGGGTCCTGACTTTCAAAAGCTTGAAGAACTTTTATACCACTACTACTTTAATGACCTGCCAGGATTAAATGAAAAACTTGTTATACCATACAAACAGCATCCAAATTATAAAGATTGTTAATGTGTCTGTAACATCCCCAGAACAACTTTCAGCCCTTTCCCACTCCATAAATGGACAGTTTAAAATATTTATTTTAAAAGTTTAGATAACCCTAATAACACTTGAGTTTTATATTTAAATAAAGGAACTCTCAGAATGATTTAAAATAATCTCAACAAAGCTCAGGTGAATTAATGTTTGACATATTTGCCCCAGGTGCTGAGTTTAGAATCATTGTGCCATCAAGTACAAGTTATATGTGTTAGATCTTATTTAATGTAGCACCCCAAGAGAGTAAGAGCCCAGACTATTTCAGAGGCAAAAAGGTAACAACCATTCATGTGGACTTTGTTTATAAGACACATGAATTTGATTATTTTTTTTACTATTATTCATGTAGTTTTACATTTTTTTATCATAAAATTTTATTTTAACACAATTAAAAAATCTCAAATTAATTGTATATATGTAAGTCTTGGATATGCTTCTCATTAGCAGTACCTAATGAAGCCAGAGTGGATGGATGAATTCATAATAAAAATAAAAGTTTCATTATTTTGGAGAGTATTTTGATTTCACAAAGTCTATATTAGAGTTACCATCAACCTTACACTGTTAAAATAATTTCCAACTTCAGTTATTTTAAGGTTATTTTTCTATAAAGATACAAATTAATAATATGGTTGAATTTATATAACAGATAATACTTTTATATCCATCAGTAATACATTTTACATTTATAGGAACCAAAATAAGAACATTTTTATTTTAATGCAAGCGTCCCCTATATATATTTTTTTTCTTTCCATCAAATTAATTAAAATCTGCATTTAATCTTGGCTAATTCTTAAAGGAGAGAGAGGAGACATTCCAGTTAGCATACTCAAAGATCAAAAAAGTTATACCAACAAGTATATACTAGTATAGCATGCATAACCTAAAACTTTTTTAAAAAAGTAATTTATGGATTGAAAAGTATAAAATGTTTAACATTTATTCAATATTTTATCTGGAGGTTGAAAAGTTTAAAATGTTGAAAAATTTTATAAAAGATGTTAAAACTGCCATATATATATATTCCTGCTAATTCTGACTCTTTTGTTGGTTAGCTTGTGTAATAAAAAATATTTTTTTGTAATTGTTTTGAACTTTTGAACCATGCTTCTTTTCACTACATATTTCATATTTTTTTTAAATTACCGTAATTATTTTTAATGTGATGTGTTCACTGCACTTGCTTGACATTTTTTTAAATTACCGTAATTATTTTGAATGTGATGTGTTCACTGCACTTGCTTGACATTTTTTTTTAAAATAAAGCGTATTCTTAGATAGCAGACACAGTGAATTCAGGTTGTGAGATGTAACAATAATATTTAAAGTCATTCATTCCATAAATTAATTAATGTTTTGCTGTGTGCTTTCGAATGAGAAGTATCACACCATTTGATAAAATGTATCAAGTTGAAATTTTACTCTCTTGTGATCATTTAAAAAAAAAAAAAAAAGCTGTGCCTAACAAGTATATGAACTCATCCTTGTATACAATGAGTTTATACTGTGATATTTAGAGATACATATCTTCCATTAAAAACAAATTACTTTTTTCACTCTATGTTACAACATGTGTTATTATGCTTATTACTCTATATTTACCATTTATCTATGTTTTTTATGTAATCAATAAATTGTTTTTTAACAGAGCTTTTAATTCCACTGTTAGTGGCCTATAAATATTTGGTTGGAGATTAAAGCAAAATGATGTAGGTTGATACAAAAAAAATAAATAAGTTGAAAGACATTTATTAATCACAAATTAATTTACAAACATTTGAATATTTCAAGAGTTATGGAATAAAAAAATTATGACAATATCTGGCTGGATGCTTTTCAATATCACATTAACACTATTTAAATATAACTTATCAGTATTTGAAAATCTCCAGGTCTATCTAATCATACATATTTATGTTCAGTTTAATCATTTTGTAAAACTTACAGTAGTGGTGTTCAAGCAGATAAAAAAAATACCTAACAGAAGGCTCTATACAGTTACCAGGTTGTGAAGATAATATTTCCCTGGAGTTAGCACTGCTCTTGTTGTATTCATGCACAAACTCAAATAAATACAAATGGTTATGAATACTAGATGTTAATGTACATAAACAACTTTTTATTTTTGAATCTTTATAGCCATTCGTTCCACTTTTGGCATTATTTCGTCAGAGTTGGTACTGTTCCGTCTTATTATTTCAATTCCATAAAATGACATTACCAGGTGCTTTTTTGTGCCTTGTCCCATTTTGCCATGATTTTATTTAGAGCTTTGTAAATTCATGCCTTCTTGGATAGTTTTCTTTTCTTTTTAAATTTACATCAGGGGCTCTTAACTATTGGCATCCCCCACCCCCGGCGGTGCAAGGTGCAGTTTCAGGGGTTGCAGGAATACACAGAAAAACATGTTTTAATTAGCATTTTTATCATGAGGTGTAGGAAATATGTTTTGAAATCGAGATGGGGCTGCTGGAACGTTTTAAAAGTAAGAGAGAAAGTGACTCTGCAAAAAAAAGTTAAGGACCCCTTGTTTACATATTTGTTCAAATTTTTGTACATGACGGTGTGAAGAGAACAGCGGTTTTCAACTCGTTTAAAAGTTATCAGATGGCACAAGGTCTTTATATAAATATGTAAAGAATACTTATGTATGTCTAAACAATTGGAGGCATTTTATCAAGTATAGTATAGGGTCAATGGTTATGGTTGGCACATTAACAGACCTGTTTACTTTTACGATGTTGGCATACAATGTACGATTTTGAGGTGTATACATTATTTATACTGTATGTTTATTTTTTACTATTAAGATAATGTATTGAACAATTTTGTGATGATATTGTACGATTTTAAGAGTTTGAGCGTAAACAGGTCAGCGTTAAGTTTAATCCATCCAATTAAACTAATCTAAGAATAATAATTTACTTTGCATGCTGCCCCTCACTGACACAGCCCATTTATATAAATACTTAAATGTTGTGTTGTAGCATTTTTTAAATATGTTTTAAGTGGGTTAAAGTTCCAAAAAGAAAAAAAAAAAAGGTTGAAAACTTCTGGATAAGATAATTTAAAACAATTCATTGCAAAATAGTGACAAGAAATGGTACAACAACCTTGTAAGTAATCTATGGAAATTTTGATACATTTCTCAGTCCTGTTTTGTTTTTTGCTTTAAACTTGATCACACACCATTTTCGAAGAGATTTTTTTTTAAAGTTCAGTAGATATGACAACTAATGACAAGATTTCATATGTGGCCTTACTTGAATATGAAATGTAGTATGAGCTTCTAATTCTAATGAAAACACAAAATAGTAGAACAAGGTATGTTGAAGCTTGAATCAAAAGCAGGACAATAAGATGTGAACCTTTCAGCTTAGAGCCTTCTTCAGGGAACAGGACAACTGAAAATATAAAAAGAAACAGAGCGCAGTAAAAAACTTTTGAGATCTCTTTTGTTGTTGCTGGAAGTAGGATTCAATTGAAAACACCTATGTCAACACACACACTCACTAAAGTTTGAACAAAATTCTAATTCATTTTTATGCTACGTCGTTAGTTAATCTTTCTTTTAGATTAACTTAAACCGCCGATGAATCAAACGTTTTTTCTTCATGATTCCAGTTATAATTTTTTAACAAATGCTATCCTTTTTTCTTCTTTAAACAACCATCTGAAAATGTATATTGATGTGATAGTTTTATCATTTTTTTTTTTTTTCATTTTAAAACCAAATATTGATCTTTGATATTGTTACTTTATGGGCTTCCTTAATTTTAAAAAATTGCTTCAATGAAATGGTTGGTTACAGATTTAATAACAAAATATACAGTTTACAACTTGTTACCTGATATTGTTATTATTTGAAGTGCCTTTTTAAATACCCAGTAAATCCATTCATTTAACTTTAATGGATGATTTTAATGTAGCACTTATTTTATTTTAATAAAAGTAGTTTAAATTTAATCTCAACCTATGTGTTAAGTGATTTCAGGGTTCCTTTAAACTTTAATGTTGTTTCTATAGCTACTTTAGATAAACATATCTGTTGTGTTTTTTAATGGTGGGTCAAGAAGTTCAAAATTTCTCCCTCTCTCTCTTGTTACGAACTCAATTTAAATGTACCAGAATGGATTATACAATATTTTATTCTACATTCAGGGGTTTCAAACTCAAATCATTGTGGTGG